ATAATAATTCACATAAAGTCAGAAGGTACAAAAATGTATAAAAAATATATTTGTTAATAGGTGTTATATAATTGTTAATAGGAGACATGTGATATTCATAGTCAAAAAGCAATAACTATTATTTTCATGTTAAAAATATTATAATGTGCAATACTTTTACAATTTATTTGTGGCTAAAATTATTACAGCATTCAGTCAATCAATAACAGATATAATCATTTCTGTCCAGAAGACAAAAAGAGTAATCATCTAGAGTTAAAGTATAAAGTATTTATTATACTAGCAAATAATGAATATTTTAAAAACATAAATACCTGACGTGGTGCAATTTTTGATTGTATAAGAGCATTTATCTGCCTTTGCTCTTCTGGATTGTCAAAAACAATAGAATGGCTCTGACGATTAAGTGTTGACCGCCCACAAATACTGCACACTTATCTTCGACCTGGTTGAGATGACCCTGATGCTTGAACACCATCACAGCTTGTTGTTAATTGCTGGTTTATGCTGCTATGAGGAGTTCATTACAACGTTCACAAATGTAATCTTATATATATATATATATATATATATATATATATATATATATATATATATATATATATAATACCTAATAATAATTAAATGTATTCTTTTGTAGATATCATTATCTGATAGGATATGCCATTCATGCTGGATGAAGTGTAAGCGTGATGCCATTCGTATTGAGCAAGTTGATGAAGCTCCAGAGAAAATCGCAGCTGTAAAGGATTGGCCGGTTCCAAAAGACAAGACGCAGGTTAGAGCATTTTTTGGATTTGTGCTCCTACTACCGACGTTTTGTGAAGAACTTTGCAGATATAGCCAAACCTCTGCATAAGCTAACCGAGGGGAAGCGACATTTCTGCTGGGATGAAAGTTGTAATATCGCATTCCAGGAGCTCAAGGACCGTCTGTGCAAAACATCTATTTTGGGATACCCTGATGCAAGCAAAGAATTTATAGTTGACACAGACGCAAGTGATATAGGACTTGGCGGTGTGTTGTCTCAACGGAATGGTGACCAAGAGGTCGTGATAGCGTACTTCAGCAAGTCGTTGTCAAAACCGGAAAGGAACTATTGTATCACAAGACGCGAATTGCTAGCTATGGTAAAGTCGTTGCAGCATTTTAGCAAATATCTTCTGGGGCGAAAATTTCACTTACGAACTGACCATGCTGCACTAAAATGGCTATTGCAGTTTAAAAATCCAGAAGGACAAGTTGCGAGGTGGATTGAACTACTGCAGGAATACGACTTTGAGATCGAACATCGCAGCGGGAAATCTCATGGCAACGCAGATGCATTATCACGAAGACCTTGTCCTGAAGATTGCAAACATTGTACTAGGCTAGAGAGTAAGGAAGTGGTATCCGTGAGGATGCTCAGGGCAGACCACCTCAGCAACGAGTGGAAGGACAGCTTTCAACGTGCACAGCAGGAAGATCCGGACATCAAGCCGATCCTGGAATGGATGAAGGCCAGTGCTCCCAAGCCTAAGTGGAGCGGCGTCTCAGCAATGAGTTCAACCACTAAAAGCTATTGGGCCCAGTGGGACAGCTTGCTGCTTCAGGATGGAGTTCTGTGCCGTAAATGGGAAAACTTCGGGGAGACAGCTGTCATTTACAAATGGTTGTCCCTAAAACTAAAGTACCGGATGTTCTACAGCTGTACCATAATGATTATTCAGGAGGCCATCTGGGAGTTAAACGAACTCTACTGAAGATCCGAGAACGGTTTTACTGGGTCCACTGTCGAAACGATGTCGAGGACTGGTGTCGCAAATGTACAAGTTGTGCGGCTGTAAAGGGACCTTAGACTCGTAGTAGAGGTGCATTGAAGTTGTACAATGTGGGTGCACCATGGGAGAGAATAGCCACTGACGTGGCGGAGCCGTTTCCGGAGAGTGAAATCGGTAACAAGTATTTCATGGTTGTGATGGATTACTTCACTAAGTGGCCAGAAGTCTTCGCCATTCCAAATCAAGAAGCTTCAACAGTTGCAGATAAACTAGTTCATGAAGTCTTCTGTCGTTTTGGAGTACCTTTAGAGATTCACAGCGATCAAGGAAGGAATTTTGAGTCTCAAATATTCCAGGAAACTTGCCGAGTTATGGGTACTCATAAAACAAGAACGACTTCTTATCACCCGCAATCTGATGGAATGGTGGAACGATTTAATCAGACATTGGAGAGGTACCTAGCAAAAGTTGTAGACAATCGGCAACGAGATTGGGACAAGCACATACAACCGTTTTTGTTGTCATATCGAAGTTCTGTTCACGAAAGTACAGCAGTGACACCAGCTTTCGCAAACTTTGGAAGAGAATTACGGCTGCCTGCGGACCTGATCACCGGGATACCACCTGATGCCCCACGCAGTATAACCGATTATGCAAATGACTTGCGGAACAAAATGAATGACATTTATGAGCACGTCAGACAATCGGGCCACCAAATGTCTGAGAAAATGAAAACCCGATACGACCGCAAAATGAACAATAAAGGGTTCAACGAAGGTTCATTAGTGTGGTTGCATAATCCAGTCCGCAGCAAAAGGAAATCTCCTAAGCTTCAAGCTAAATGGGACGGCCCGTACCGGATTGTAACCAGGATCAACAATGTGACGTACGGGATACAGAAAGGCGCAAGAGGGACTCCTAAGATCGTCCATGTGGATCGCTTGGCGCGTTATTATGGGACCGATAATGCTCGGGACGAGCATGTCTTAGGAGGGGGCAGTGTTGCATGAATAAGTCAACTAGCGCCATCTAGTGTCAGGAACGAGAGCGAGGGGGAGCTTTGTAGTAAATGACATCACAAATCTTTCGACCGACAGCGCCACCCGAAGAACTAAGTTTCTGGAAAATCTACACTCGAATACTCGTTGCCTGGCGCGCATTTACTTGAATGTTCGGGACGCTTCTTTGCTAATTATATAAATAGGCGCTGCAAGATGCGATCGGGGCAGAGTTGAACTCGGCGACACAAGCGAAGCTTCGGAGCGGAATTAAGTGAATTAGTGTGTTTAATTATTAGTGTTTTTAGTTTTAATTTGTGTAAAGTAAATTAAAGTGTTAATTTAGGTAATTTTATCGGCAATTTTTATTGTCACGAACCTCAAGCTCGTAACAATACTAATATACATACCTGATGAACAAAATGGGAAAAACAAATAAAACACTATGTTAAAGTTGAATGGTTTATTAATTATCATCATTTTCACTTAAATCTCTTACCACTACGTCATCCAGAAATTCTGCTGGAGCAGAAATATTTTCTTGATACCTAGCCCATCCAATGTACCACACTAACGTCATAACGTGAGCGCAACATCCAATGGTTCGTCGACCGACCAAACAATTACAACAATATTCGACTATAGCAGCTCTGCCAGACACATTATTTTTTTATTAAAATATATTGTTTTCTTGAAATGTGCCTGGACTTAATTTTTCCTCTTATTAATGTTCTATCACTACTTCCTCTGAGATTATATTGAGAAAAATCTTCTGTATCCCTACATATTTCTATTCTATATGATCCATGAAATCGAATATGTTCCCCGTCATATGATTTGGCTTGCCTTATCTGGTAAGTGCCTAGAGCAAATAGTATTAATTCACTATAACATAATCTAGGAAACATAAATAAATTATCTCGGTCACCTGTTATACTTTGAAAAACAGTTGACCTTCTATTCATATTTAGCTCCTCAACCAGTAGGGCTAAATTATTTTCAAAGTTAATTCTCTCTCTAATTATTGCAACTATTTCATTAGAATCATCTCTATCACGAAGACGAACACCAAATCGGTTAAGTAAACTGGCCGCTATTTGAAAGTTCTGCATCATATTTGGCACCGATTTGTGAAAATAGTCTTGCCTCAAGAGCTTAAAGTCTCTTTTAAAATGTCCATTTACTGCCTCAACTACCCAGCGGCATATTGTTACACAGCGACTCCGGTTGGCCTGCTGTGTTGTTAACTGGTGTTCGCCTTCTAATAGAGAATCAGGCATATATGGCCGATAATTACAACCTTCTAGCATTCTTATAGAATCCCGGAAACCCCTATCCAGTATGAACACATCATTATCTTGAAAATATAATCTAAGGGAAGAGTTTTCATTATCAAAAAGGGAAATCATTATGCTAGCATTGGATATGGTAGCCTTGTATGGACCGTAACAATCTAAGATTGTTGAACTGACAGCCTGCACGAGCGATGAAGAAATTTGAAGTTTTATTACAAATAAAGAGAAAAATGCGAAATAATTCATAAAAAATAAAGGTGACAGGTGACAACTGTATTTTGGCGAAATATTTTATTTAAAATAACTATTTTGTTATATTTCTTAATACATATTTATTAATACATATATATTATTTCCTTCTCCTGCACTACCATTAAGGACGGACGTGATTCTTCTCAAAATCAACAAGATAAAAAGATAGGATAAAACAGAACGGACGTGTTTGTTGCGCTTGTGTATAATTATTTACTTTAAAAACAGTTATAATGTCTGTAGATTGTTGGGCTTGTGGTGTCCAAGTACCTGATGGTTGTTACATAAAGTGCTCCAAAAAACAGTGCGAGAAAGTTTATGATTTAAAATGCCTAGGACTGACAGAAAATAAATTCAGTTCCTTCTCGGATAAGCGCACGAAGCAATGGGTCTGTCCGGAGTGCGCTTGTTCTAAACCTAAACGCTATGACTAGAATACACCTATCAGGGACACCCCGGAGCTGAAAACATTCACGCCCAGTGCTAATGTCAACACTCAACGGGGAAGCCGCATGCAATTGATGGATGAATCAATTGTCGAGTGTGATAATAATAGTAATGATAAATTGCTGTCTGAGTTTAGACAGCTAAAATATGAAGTCTTAAGCCTATTAGACGTGAAAACTAACATTATTAAACATCTTCAAGAAATATGTTTTTCTACAAAAACGGAATTAGAAGAACTAAAGATTAAAATGAAAGTATTTCAAAATAAATTGTTCCCAACGGATCTGTTATCAACTCAAAATCAACAGTTTGAAAGTATTGATAGTATAACGGAAAGTCTGAATACAGGCCTCGAAATGTCTAAGCAAATCGATGTCCCATCTACATTCGCTGATGTGGCTCGTATAAGCCTAAATAATGTAAACAAAACAAACGTTACTCCCTGCGTAATAAAAACGCCTGCGGCCATGAAAATAGCAACCGGGAGAGGGTCCGTTGTCCAAACTCAACCAATTAATCAGCCACAGTGTGTGACTCCAAGGAAAGAGTTAAATATTAATATTAGTGAGGAAGAAGAAAAAATGAATAAAGATTGTGAGTGGACTACAGTTCGTAAGAAAAAGGGGGAGTTACCAATCAAAAAATGTGAAGAAAGGAAATAATACGATTTTATTAGATATACAGGCTACTGAAAAAAAGCGGCACCTTCACGTTTGGCGTTTGAGTAAAGAAACCACAAGTGATAAATTAACATCACATGTCAAAGGAGTATGTGGTCCAGATGCTAATGTTAAGATTGAGAAAATTAAGCATAAGACAGAGAGGGATTACGATTCTTTTATCATAACGGTATCAGAGTCAATGTATGAAAAGTTGTGTCAACCGGAAGTCTGGCCCATCAATGCGGAATTTTGCGAGTGGATTTGGTTTCGAAAAGCTACAAATAAACCAATTAAAGAAAAATAATAGTTTTGAATTTTACCATCAAAACGTCAGGGGTCTTCGTACAAAATTAAACTGGTTTAGTAACAATATTGAATCATTGAATGCCGATATAATTGCTATTACGGAAACAGGATGCAACGATTCTATAATGGATGCGGAGATTGTGCCACCAGGTTATGATATAATAAGGTGTGATCGAGCAGACGGCCGTAAGCTAGGCAGCGCGTTTCTCGTGGCCACACACGGGTTACAGCTGCAACGAGTGAATACACCGGGTGACGTAAACATAGATAACTGCTCATTTGAACTGGTTTGTGCGACAGTACACGCTAAAGATAAATGTTTATTTTTATGTTGCGTTGTTTACATCCCGCTTAAGACTAAGGAAGATGTTTACATGATTTTTTTTAAGATGATAGACATATTATTTTGATAGGTGATTTTAACTTAAATTCAAGTAATGAAAATGTTAAAAATTATTTTGAATATTTTGTGTCCTTTTACGAATTGGCTCAGATGAATAAAGTCCTTAATTGTAATCGGAGTCAACTAGATTTAGTGTTGTGTTCGTTAGGATTAAGTGATGGCGTACAAGTATGCAAAGCTGACGAACCATTAGTGCCTGTGGACACGTATCATCCACCGCTTGCGGTGACTCTGGAGCTCAGCGCTGGCGGTGTGACGTTGCTACCCGTGGGGGCCGAGCCCGTTGCTTTGAACCGTGAGACATCAGCAAACCAAATTAAATCGCAATGGAATTTTTATAAAGCTGATTTTTACTTATTTTATTCTTATTTAGCTTGCGCCGATTGGAGTTTGATTAACGAGACACAGGAACCAGAGGAAGCTTTAGAGTTTTTTTATAATGTTTTTACGGTGTTTTAGATAAATGTGTACCGAAAAAGCGGGAAAATAAAGTAGATCAAAGACACTACCCCGAGTGGTATACTAGTGATTTAATCAGGGACATAAAATTAAAGGCTAAACTTCACAAGTTATATAAATCGACCGGATCTCGTGCTCATTACAAAGCTTTTTATGCTTGCAGGACGCGAATTAAGAAAACTATTGATAGCGCATACCTAAACCATCAAAATCGTGTGCAAAGTAACTTGACAAAAGATACTAAGTCTTTTTGGGATCATATTAGGGCGAAAACAAGGACCGTAAAACGTAAACAAATATTGAAAGATGGAGTAACATTGTCAGATCAAGAAAGTGCGACTAAATTTGCCAAATACTTCTACTCAGTGTACAACAGCGAGCCAGCGCGTTTGAACGTAGACGAGGCGGTGTTGGCGGGCGGTGCGGGCAGCGCGCGCGTGCACGTGCCGCAACTGCAGCTAGGTGAGGTGCGCGCGGCGCTCGCCCGACTCAAGCCGAAGCGCTCGGCGGGCCCGGGCGGTATACCGGCGTTTGTGATACGAGACTGCCGCTCAGTGCTGGCAGAACCGTTATTACATATTTTCAACTTGTGTCTGAAGAATTCATATTTTCCAAAAAGTTGGAAAATTACGCGTGTTATTCCGATACCTAAGAGAGGTAACAAACCTACAGTTGAATCCTTCAGACCAGTGGCGATTCTCTCAGCACCTGCGAAGGTGTTTGAGGGAGCCATTCAGCGAAGTGTACAGGAACAAGTTGCACCGCAATTATCGGACGCCCAGCACGGCTTCCGGCTAGAGAGGAGCACAACTAGTAACCTCTTAAATGCCATGACGTATTTGGTTCCTCATGTTGATGCAGGGTTGCAGGTAGATGCCGCCTACTTTGATTTTAGGAAGGCGTTCGACTTGGTAGATAACGATATCCTACTGTCAAAGATGGCGAAAGCTGGCTGCACACTTAAACTGCTTCATTTTTTTGCAAGTTACATGAGAGATAGAAAACAGTATGTGGAGTATGGCGGGTACCGGTCGGAGCCTTATTTTACTAGGTCTGGTGTGAGTCAAGGCAGTAATTTAGGGCCGTTAGAGTTCAACATAATGATTATTGATCTACCCGAAGTAGTAAGAGAGGCTAAATGTCTGTTATTTGCAGACGACCTAAAGTTGCTTTTAGCCATCAAGACTGAGGATGATTGTCGGCACCTTCAGCAAGATATCGACCAAGTAGTTGAATGGAGCCATAAAAATAAACTGCAGTTTAATATTTCAAAATGCTCTATTCTATCATTTAGTCGTGCAAGGGCACCACTCCATTACAACTATAAGGTGAATGGCGAGCTAATGAAGAGGGAGGAATCAGTCCGGGATCTTGGAGTCCAGATGGATGTCAAATTGACATTCCGGGAGCACATCATGAATATATGTAAGAAAGCTAATAAACGACTTGGGTTTATCATTCGCAGAGCAGTAAAATTTACCAACATTAAAGCAATCTCAGTGCTGTATGATGCTCTAGTAAGGAGTCAGCTGGAGTGTAACTCAGCAATATGGGCTCCACATGAAAATAAATACAATCTTATGCTGGAGCGCATTCAGAGTAAATTCACGCGATTTATATATCATAAGCTTTATGGGGTTTATCCATCCTACCCCTTGATGTATCCAACCTTGTTTGTTTTAGGTATGGTTAGATACAACAAGTTGGAAACTAGAAGAGATCTAGCGCTGGTAATCTACATTTTAAGGGTGTTCTGTGGTTACATCAGCAACCCGGGTGTGCTGCAGTGGATAGGCTTATGCGTGCCTGATAGGTATGTACAGCGGCGACGACGGCCGAGCTTGCTCGCGATACCACGCGGCAGGACTAAACAGGTTCGCAATACCCCCCTCACGCGAACGATACACATACTAAATTTGGTAGCTGAGAAGTTGGACTTATTTTCGTGTTCACGGAGTGAGTTCGCAAAAGTGACATTATTTACAATATGTTATTCTTAAATTGTAGTATACAATTGATTGTAATGTATTGTCATTGAAATTAATTATTATGTATTGTTATTTAAATTAATTATTGTGTTGTAATTAGTAATCTTTTACCATTTGAATTGTTACTTTTTGAATTGAGATGCTACATTTATCGATTTAGGTTTTCCCTGTAATGGTAGATGTTAGTAGGAAATATAAATAAATAAATAAATAAATAAAGATGTAACCATCACATGCCACAAATAAAAATTGCTTTAATACATTTTTATATTTATTTAATGAATATGTATCTTTTTTGAAAGGAGTAATTGGAACTTTTATTTATATTTATGTAAGTCCCATCGCAAATAATTATAGTGTTTAGTTTAGTATAGTTTTCATTGAATATACCATTTGGTATTGTAAGGTTATGATCCATTAGACTTTCTCTCGATATGTGATTAATACCCAGGTGCATAGGTACAAAATCTTGAACCAGGATTTCCCTGCAGTTGTTCATTAGTCGCTCTAATGTGCTACGCGGTACATCTAATAATGTAGACAACCGAACATCTGATTCACCAGTCCTCAATTTAATTAACAATGCAGCTAATCCCAAAATACCTTTGTGTGTTCCTTGTATGCGAGGAACTTCATTAAGAAGGGTGAAAAAGTCGTGTTTGGACTTTCCTGTCCAAAAGAAGAATATGTTATCCTCAATTTCTCGAATGGCTTCTACATTTGTGAAATTAAGGTAGGGCTTGAAAGAAAAGAAAGAAAAACGAAAAAATGTGTTCTACTTGCTGTGCAGTAAATGTATTCATGCTATTACTCGAATCATACAGATTACTCCACTCGTTACTTAGTCTATATTCCATACAGATACGGCTGTGCACTGGAATATAATATCTATATGAACTGAGTATTGTTGCTCTAAATGAATCTGCCATATTGTGCAGATTAATATTAGTACATTGAGGGAAAAGGCAGTGAGAAGCAGTATTTGCTGCCCGTCTATAATTTTCCAATGTTATGTTGCTAGATACAACTTCAGAAGGCACTTCTAGACTTTCATGAACTGGTTGAGAAGTGAGTGGTTCAGAGTCACATGTTTCAAGATCAACTTCTCTAGTTGTAGACACTCGGCGAGCTTCATCAACGAATGGCATCACGCTTACACTTCATCCAGCATGAATGGCATATCCTATCAGATAATGATATCTACAAAAGAATACATTTAATTATATATATATATATATATATATATATATATATATATATATATATATATATATATATATATATATATATAATAATTAAAAGTTCCAATTACTCCTTTCAAAAAGATACATATTCATTACATAAATATAAAAATGTATTAAAGCAATTTTTATTTGTGGCATGTGATGGTTACATCTTTATTTATTTATTTATTTATATTTCCTACTAACATCTACCATTACAGGGAAAACCTAAATCGATAAATGTAGCATCTCAATTCAAAAAGTAACAATTCAAATGGTAAAAGATTACTAATTACAGCACAATAATTAATTTAAATAACAATACATAATAATTAATTTCAATGACAATACATTACAATCAATTGTATACTACAATTTAAGAATAACATATTGTAAATAATGTCACTTTTGCGAACTCACTCCGTGAACACGAAAATAAGTCCAACTTCTCAGCTACCAAATTTAGTATGTGTATCGTTCGCGTGAGGAGGGTATTGCGAACCAGTTTAGTCCTGCCGCGTGGTATCGCGAGCAAGCTCGGCCGTCGTCGCCGCTGTACATACCTATCAGGCACGCATAAGCCTATCCACTGCAGCACACCCGGGTTGCTGATGTAACCAC